CCCCCCCCCCCACTCCTGAGCATTGGTAGTCAGTGTCAGGCTGTAAAAAAACCCTACCCTCCCCGCACAGACGCTCGCTTCAGTTCCACGGCTGAGACAATGGCGCCCAGTCCATCTTGGTCCTTTTGTTGTTTCTTGACTTCCTCTCTCAGCGGAGGGTCCGGAGCAGTGCGAGCTGGTGGAGATGCCTCGATACCGGAAAGGTCCTCATGTCTGCTTCGACTACAACCAGATGGTAAGGGCCCACTTGTGTGACTGACACCGGCTGCACCCTTCATAGCAGCCCACGACGTGTTTAAATTCAGAAGACCCCATCATCTAATGAGAGCTGCTATATGGCCCCTGGGCCGCCATTTAGAGAACCCTGTAGAGCCTCGTACCGGTGTGAAATCAGACCTATTGCCTAAATATTATGGCGTCCCTTGTATCGTTTACATTCTGTAACACAAAATATAAGCCGGCCTGGTGGGTGAGCGGTAGCACCACGTACCACACATGTGGTATTTGCCCCCAGTGATATCCTTTGTCAGCCATGTGACATTTCCATCTCCCAATGGCTCCTTCTGATTATAGGCTCCCTGGTATACTCTTATTGGCGCTCATATCTTAAATTTAGCCTAATGTCTCACCCGGGTCAATGGAGGGACCGATAACTCTTCCCCTTTCTGTCCTTTCCAGGAGGACACGTCAGACTGCGGCAGAGGCTCCATGTTCCGGCCGTCTTGGCTCCTGCTGGTCTTTCTTCAGTCGCTCCTCCTGTGCCTGGCTTCCGGCTCCACGTCGTCCACCGCCGGCAGGGGGCTCTAGACCAGCCCCCGCTTCCTCCCTCCTTCCTGAGGCCGCTTCTCGATGAGTGGCGTGGTTACCATGACAACCAGGCGAGCGCCACTCCGGCGCATTTGGGCCGAGTTACCACGACAACCACCGCTTGTTATGGATGATGATCTTACTGTGACAACAAGGAGACCTTTTTAGCGTCATCGGGAATTTTTCCAAGGCAACCCCGGGGGAGAACCGCATCACGGCTTTGTAGCAGCACTTAACCCGTCGGCAAGAACTTCCTGCCGTGTCCGTCGTGGGCCACTTCTAGGATCTCTTGTTCCCTGTCCATCCGTCTCGTCGGTTTTCCCCGTTTTGCTGTCTCCACATCTGGTCTCTGAGGTGATGTCGCCGCGTCATCCGCGATGTTCTGACCTTGGCCTCCATCTTTCTGTACAGCTCCAGTAACACGCTAAAGGTCAACATCGCGATGGCATTCTGTACATCCATCACCAAGTCATCATGGTTTCATCATACCATCGTCATACCGAGTGGAAGTTCATCTCCCCGCGTTGGATCACGCATGCGGCCAAAGTCACTGGGAGGAGGGGGGGTGGCGACAGAAAATTCAAAAAGTGAAAAGAATTTTAGGTTTCTGCCGTGGGTTGCCAAGCTGTTCATGCGAGAAGTCTGTGTTGAGCATCCTGTACACACTATAATGAACTGGAGATGTTATCGCGTCTGTGGCGGCAGAATTGCTTTACCCAGAATCCTTTGCTGGGCTCTAGGGGACTGCACTTCTGCTGCAACGTGAGTGCCAAAAGCAGCGGTGTTAGATAATTGGTGTTATTCTTTCTGTTTCGGGCTTCATAACCTCAAGCACAACCCTTTCACATCCTAGGACCGTACAGTATTGTACCAAAGAAACAGGCTTGGGATGTCTTTAATTCTGTGCAATGTTACATTTTCTTTGAAGGCCAACTCAGCCTAAATCTGATCTTTCAGTTTATGTTGGGCAACGGTGGATTGGATTGGCCAGCAGCATCTTAAATTTCTCAATGACTCCGGTGGCACAAATTTGTGTCTCTGCCACGATCATAATGGAGAGATCTTCCCGCAGTAGATTGTGTCTCTGCCCCTCCCACAATGGTGAGGTTTCCCCCCCCAGTAGTTTGTGTCTCTGCCCCTCCCACAACGGTGAGGTTTCCCCCCAGTAGTTTTTGTCTCTGCCCCTCCCACAATGTTACGCTTACCCCCAGTAGTTTGTGTCTCTGCCCCTCCCACAATGGTGAGATTCCCCCAGTAGTTTGTGTCTCTGCCCTTCCCACAATGGTGAGATTCCCCCAGTAGTTTTTGTCTCTGCCCCTCCTACAATGGAGAGATTTCCTCCAGTAGTTTGTGTCTCTGCCCCTCCCACAATGGTGAGATTTCCCCCAGCAGTTTGTGTCTCTGCCCCTCCCACAATGGTGAGATCTCCTCCCAGTAGTGTGTGTCTCTGCTCCTCCCACAGTGGTGAGATCTCCTCCCAGTAGTTTGTGTCTCCGTCTGTCATGAAGCCATAATGAAAGTCTCTCTCTTTCTGTCCTGGCTTCCAGATTTATTTATTTATTCTGCTTGATGGAAGATCCATTAGGGGAGGGGACGCGATCAGTTGGCTTTCCAATGGCCGTGGCAGCTGGGCGCAATGTGGAAGCCAGCGCACGATTCAATAAGTTATTCAGCAACAGCACAAAACTGAAATATTTCTTGAGTGGAGTTGCCCTTTAATGGAAGTACCGCCTTTGATTGCGGAACACACAAGTATTTAAGCTCCCGCCAGGGAACACAGAATATGGGCGCAATATGATATAATAAAATTGTTAGCACAACCGCATCCTCTAAGACCGCAGACATTTCATACAATTTGCGCTCTGCAAGCTTCATGTTCAGCGTGCGCAATGGCTCCACCCCATTGCGGTATGAAGCTCCCACGCGCATGGCTTAGAGAGCGCAGCATCATCACACAAGCACAGCAGACTCGCAGAGCGCACGTGGTTGGGTTTCCCAACTTCTAAGGCACAAACTCCTCATATCAGTCACCTTCAACCTTCAGCACAACATGGAGGTGGCGACCACCATGGAAGGAGGAGCGGCTTCTTCTCCTCCTTGTCTACGGCGATCAAAGGAAGTGCGAGTGATAAATGTAGCGTTAGAAGCCTCCAGATGTCGATCCTCGTCCTCATTTATGTGTTCCATCCTTGTAGCTCCAGGAATAATCTGATCCCTGATGTCGGCGTGACCGGGGCCCCCTAGCAGTTGAGGGACCTGAAGCTCCAGCATCTGACCACGGCTGCTAGCGCGCCCAAGTAGATCAGTCAGCTTATAGCAGCAGAAGTAACACCCGCCCTCCGGCGCTCCCAGGACAATTTACTGCGCCGCTCCTAAATATTACAATAGCAGATAAAACGGAGAGATGTTCCGAGAGTGAAATGACCCAGTTTTCTGACCTCGTTCTTTGTGTTGGATTTAGAATGGAGGCGCGGCACAGTGCGGAAAAAAAAAGGACACGTGATGGCTGTTATGTTATGATATGTCCACGGGTCTTGTTGCTTATCACTTAACCCGGGTCACGGCACCAAAATGTTGCTCTATATAACTGAGGAGTGTTTAAGAGGCACAATGTGGCCAACGGCTTGTGGACATCTGATCATTACACCTGTATGGCCATTAATATAGAGTTGCTTCCCCATCATGGCCTTTAATATGGAGTTGCCTCTCCATCATGGCCATCAATATGGAGTTGCCTCCCCATCGTGGCCATGATGGCGAGGCAACTCCATATTACTATAGAGTTGCCTCCCCATCATGGCCAATAATATGGAGTTGCCTCCCCATCATGGCCATTCATATGGAGTTGCCTCACCATCATGGCCATTAATCTAGAGTTGCCTCCCAATCACAGCCAATAATATAGAGTTGCCTCCCCATCATGGCCAATAATATGGAGTTGCCTCCCCATCATGGCCATCAATATGGAGTTGCCTCCCCATCATGGCCATCAATATAGAGTTGCCTCCCCATCATGGCCATTAATATCGAGTTGCCTCCCAATCACGGCCAATAATATGGAGTTGCATCCCCATCGTGGCCATTAATATAGAGTTGCCTCCCCATCGTGGCCATTAATATAGAGTTGCCTCCCCATCGTGGCCATTAATATAGAGTTGCCTCCCCATCATGGCCAATAATATGGAGTTGCCTCCCCATCATGGCCATTAATATGGAGTTGCCTCCCCATCATGGCCAATAATATGGAGTTGCCTCCCCATCATGGCCATTAATATAGAGTTGCCTCCCCATCATGGCCAATAATATGGAGTTGCCTCCCCATCGTGGCCATTAATATAGAGTTGCCTCCCAATCACGGCCAATAATATGGAGTTGCCTCCCCATCGTGGCCATTAAAATGAAGTTGCTCCCCCTTTTTCTGGCTATAACAACCTCCATTCTTCTAGGAGGGCTTCCAGAAGATCTTGGAGTGTGTCTACAAGAATTTGTCCTTCTTCAGCTAAAAGAGCATCTGTGAGGTCAGGTCCTGATGTTGGATGAGAAGACCCGGCTCACAATCAAAGTTCTAATTCATCCCAGAGGTGCTCAGTAGGGTTGAGGTCAGGGCTCTGTGCGGGACACTCGAGTTCCTCCACCAAGCCACCATGTCTATATGGAGCTGGCTTCCAGAGGAACAGTCATGCTGGAACAGGGAAGGACCTCCCCCAGGATGAGTCAACTCTTCTCCAGAGAGCCTTATAGATGTCACAGCAATGGTGTCCCTGAGGGGACCTTGTTCAGTGCCATACCGAGCAACCATATATTAGTCACTGGTCTTTATAAACCGCCGCGCCTGCCTTCATTCCCATCATGCCCTGTGTACATGTAGCTGGTGCCACTTTACCATCTGCATCTCTTGGCTAATCCCCGTTACCCCTCGTCTAGAGATTTTGTCGCATCCTCATCCTCTCTCTTCCTGCCTTACGCTGGTTTACCTTCAGGATCTTTCTCAAGGTCACGTCTCCTTCACTCTCCATCTCAACCACTTCCACTGGTGCTCCAGACACCTGTCATATCACACGAACGCCACTTCGCCAAGTGACCTCCCCCCCCCCCCC